CGACGCCTGCGCCGCCACCCCCACCCCCCCCACCCCCGCCGGGTGATGCGGCCCATCAGCTGACGGCTTGGCACGGCCCGGGAGGGGAGGGTGGGGTGGGCACGCGCTCCCGGTCTCCGCCGCGGTGCTTGTGTGTGTGTGTGTGTGGGGGGTGCCCGGCGCCCTGATCCGGAACACGTGCGGGCCCCCCCTGCCGCCCCCTCCACGTGCCCGCCGCGTCTCCGCTGCTGCAGGCGGGCAGCGAGGGACAGCTCCGTCCTCTCCCGGGGAGCGCGACTTCCACGCCTGGCCCAGCAAGAGGGGAGCCTCCTCGCTCCCCCTCCCCCATAAAATAAATTTATTAAACTAACATCAGGCCTAACATCACAATAAAATACAATTACTGTACATAATACACCAGTGCCACCGTCACCCCCAGGGCTAGCAGTAATAATATTTTAAATTTCATTCAGTCCGTTTTCTCTCCAAAACTTCATGGTTTCTTCCCTTGGTGTACACCCCTTCCCTCTCTGAAATACATATCCCATGAATACACTCCATATTTTCTTAAAATCATTAGTTTTGATAGGCCTCTTCTTATTTTCATATCACATGTCAATTTATCATTCATTGCCATATCCCATAGTTCTCTATACATACCATTCCTCTAAACTGAGTTGACTATCATTTTTCCTGTTTCTTGCAAAAATTAACCATTATTACTATTAATTCCCTATTTTCTTTCAACAATTGACATGTTCTTCATAATTCTTTGATCCCACATTTTATTGCATTCTTCCCCTATTACTGGCTTATCCAAATCATACTGCCCCAGTATTTTTAATCCTTGTGTATTCTGTCCGGCCTGAATTAATAATTTATATATTTGACTGACAGTTTCCTTTCTTTCTGTCTTTTCCTCTAATGTCAATCTTTTGTTCAATAATCCCCTCCCCCATCTTCAGTGGCTGGGCGCGTCTCCTGAAGGGAGCCCCCAAGACCCCCCTGGAAGTGTCGGTCAGCCGCCCCTTGCCTTCCCCACTTCGCTGCCCGGCTCTCGTCTGCCGGACGCTCCGAGCAACCCCCAGCGAGAACCCGAGCATGGTCTCTTGTGCTGGACAGAGACACATATCATACCTTTGGCTCTGATGGGACTTGTAGTCCAAAAACTCCAGCAGCTGCTGCAGTCGGAGAGCATAAAGGGTGAGGGAAGTTGGACTAAACTCCCCCCCCCAATCCATCACCTCAGGAAGAGACATTTTGCAGTTTCAGCGTGCAGATCCCAGCTTCCCACTGGAGCAAACTAGGAGTAAACCAGAGGTAGCATAGCCCAGCGGTTAAAGGGAAGGCCTCTCACCGGAGCGCTCCTGCTTCCGATCCGCCCCCACCTGCCAGCTGTCTCTTGAGTAACTTTGGAGCTGTCGCTCCCTCTTAGCCTGACCTACCTCAGGGGGCTATGAGGACCAAGTGGGGAGGAAGAAGGGCCACACCGATTGTCTTCACACACCCCCTTGCAGGAGATGCTGGAATCAAGGAATATTAAGTAAATAAAAGGGCAGCCGGAGTGCCTTGTAGCCAAGGCCAGGCGCTCCATCTGCAGTAGCAGCAGAGGCAGAGAAACCCACAGCTCCCACACTGCGCAATGATGCACCACTAGGATTCCTGGCCATTGCAATGCGAGAGAGTCGGGAGCTTCCCTCTGTCAAACGCCAGGGCCGGGCCAGGAGGCGGCCAGAGTCACTTGGGGCTCTTTCTCCCCCGCAGTGGGGTCTCCGTCTCTGGGACGTCTCTCCCCATTTCTCATCCACCTGAGAAAAAAGGACTCTGGTGGGTCCCGGGAAGCCCCCGGCCATGTGTCAGCTCTTGGGGTACCACAGGACTCCCCAGGGAACACTTTTCCAAAGTCTCCCTGCAGATTTCATCAACTCCCTTCATCTGGACCACCCTACTCGGGGGTGGGGGGGAGTGGGTGTCAAACCCCAGTTGGCATGAAACTCCCCTTGAAGCCAAAGGAGACTCGGCTCTTGCAAATCCCTTTGGCTGCCGGTCGTCCCTGAGTCACCAGCTCCAGGACTCGGTGGGCCCTCCAGCCTCCCTGTTCCCTAGATGAGGCCACCCTGCCCCTGCATTGTAAAAGGGGTCTCTTTCGGAGCAGAGCTGAGGGTCTGTAGCCTGGCCCCTCTGCATCAAAGGAGGAAGCCCCCCCCCAA